TTTTTTTTTTTTTTACTTAAAAAAATGCACTTGTGAGTTGTGATAGTATCAAGTCCCCAACTTAAACACATTGAAATGTATCTTTTTATGCGTCTTTTTTCCTTGATTAGAGCACATTTGCAACCAATTACTTTTAGACTGACCCAAGGTTTTCCAAATAAAATATTACCACCAACAGGTAGGTAGCCAAAGGAATGTGAAAAGAAATCGGAGTGACGGCAAATGATTATAGATGCCATCAGATCAAAGGTGCAACAAAATCAATTAATGGTTTTCAGCTGTCAGCTGGTGTTAGACAAAGTCATGATGATAGCTTTAAGTCTTTAAGATGTCAAGTGTTGATGAAATTTAAATTTACCCTGCACGGTAGACATGTTTATGGCCCGTAATTGGTCCGTGAATCGGTTCCGGCCTGGCCCGAACCGGCCTCTTAAGGGCCGGTTCGATGAACCGGACCCTTAGGGTCGCGGTTCGGTCTCGGTTCTTTTTTTTTTTTTGGTCCCGTCGATTTGGGCTAAGTCGGTCCGCAAGTCGAACGACGGGACACAGTGTATTTTTTTTAAAAGGGTAGTATCGGCGCGTGAACCGACCCGTGACCCGCCGGGTCGGTGAACCAACGGGTCAGATTCGGTTCTACGAACCAGCCCATATAAATGGGCGGGCCAGTCACGGGCCATGAAACTGAGGCCCGCCGACTGATCGGGCCAGGCCGGACCGGATCGCGGGCCGGCAATTGGCCACGTCTACTGCACGGTGATTATAGAAGCTAAATTAAAAGTGTAAAAAGTAAAAACGAGATTCGAGGCTTTGGCTTGACTGTACATATATTTAACAGAAGTCTAACGCTCTTAATTTTTATGGATTAACCTTATTATGGATTAATTTTTATGTATTAACCTTATTAGTCCACATGTCTTAATTTTTATGGATTAACCTTATTAGTCCACATTTGGAAATTGGGATCTTGTATCCAAATTCTGGAGATAGTAGTGACATTATCAATGTCTCATGCATTTCCTCTAATAATAATAACAATAATATAATAATAATAATAATAATAATAATAATAATAATAATAATAATAATAATAATAATAATAATAATAATAATAATAATAATAATAATAAGAAGAAGAACATCAAAAGAAACACTAGTTACTAGAACACATATTCATTACCACAATACACACCAAATTAAGTTCCAATCACAAAACCGGATCGCGATCATCGATACACACGATATCAAGTACGACACATACACGGTAGAACCAACGTTCATATACGAAATACGTAAAAAAAAAAAAAAAAAAAAAACTATATTATCGTTACACGATACATATAATCATATCGTAAATATAGTATTTAGCATCTTGGATATCGGGTGCCACAAAAGGCGGCTACTATCTTGGCACGGGGGGACTTGATGAGCTTTTGAAGGTAAGGGTTCTTCACGTACCGGCAGAGGCAAGGCCTCTGCTCCTTAAGCTTGGCACAGCACACCTTGCTCGGCTTGCTCGGAGATGTTATAGCCGTCGCACACGGGCTCAGCTGCATTGGGTTGCACGTCACGGCTTTTGTCACTTGGACTTGTTCCACACTTAGGATGAGGAGGATTGACACAATTGCTAAGCATGTTTGGGCATTCATGTTTTACTCTATTTAATTTGGCTAAGTGGATTTGTGTGAGGAAGAGTGTGATGTTGGTTCAATTTATAGAGGGAGGTGGGATATAATGGAGTAAATGCTAATGTGGGTGCACTGTAGTTGGGTACATTACTTTTGTTGCCATAGATTGAGTGGAATTATGACTCAACTTTTTTTATGAATTTTTTTTCATCTAATTTTTTTTAATAAAAGAATATAATACAAATACACTTTTTGGAATGTAAAATAAAAAAAACATTTATTTTAGGAAGTTTGATCAATGACTTGTTAGTGGTTTTTTTAGCTCGAAACTTGATAAAATATGAGTTAATTTTGAATACATGAGCTTGTTTGTTTACTAAATAACCCAAAAGTTAAAATCTAAAATTAAAAATTTAACTAACTTTCAGTCAACCTTATTATCTTCAATGTTATCAATATATTTAAATAATATCAATTAATTGTTCTTACAGATCACATCCAACTTTAATTCTTTATTCATCAACTCACATAATTGTAACTAACGATTACTTTCAATTATTTATTCCTACTTTTACATCATATTAATTTTCATCATTTTATTCTAAATATTACTATGGTACAATACTCGTGTATTGCACGATAGTTTAATTGTCAAGTAATTTATATTCAAAATTAAATGGAATAATTTTTTTAATTTTCAATTTTTTTTTTCTGAAAAACTATATTACTGTTTATATTTATAATAACACACATCATTTATATGATTTACCATCTTATATTATAATATTTTTTAAAAAATAATATTATTTAACAACTTTGTAGTTAAACTAATTTAAATAATTTTTATTTAATAGTTGTAATTTAATTCTTATTCTAAATATAAATATAATTATTAATTTATTTGTATATAAAATATATGTGTCAAATTGAAGCTCATCAAGACATGATTAATTGAATATATTACGTACGAAAATTGATAATAAATTAAAGTTTATTAATTTATAACTCTACTTATAATTTAAAGTAGTAATTTCATTATAATTTTAAAAGAAAGATGAAAAAAATAGAAAGATTGAAGAAAAAACTTATGCCTTATAAATCACATCTGGAATTAGAAATGTAATATTAGTGCTCTTAAAAAGGACCATAAAGATCTAAGATATATATGGCTATTTCAAACTTCATTATTTTTTTTATCCAAACCAAATGACAATGCATGAAAACTTACCACATAGGATGCTGAAGTATTAGAGTCGGGAAAAAAGAGTACAGTCCCACCAGGTGAAGTACACCATAATAGGTTGAACCTAGGTGTACTTTAGTGAGATTTCATCTCAAAACCAATTGGTGATGGGAGGAGTAGCTCACTAAGTTCAAATACCAATATATGTATAAACAATCACATCCTTCTCTTAATTAGTCTGTTTAAGTTTAAATTGATTTTGTTCAGCTGGAACTGTATGGCTATAACGTTCTCTCTCAAAGAATGTATGAAAGTACTTAGATTATAAGGCTATACCGCCAACCATCTCTCAAAAAATTTATGAAAGTACGATTACTACATTATTTTCTCAATTATCTTGTACTAGTACAATACTCGTGTATTACACGGATGCTTGATAATATATTTTTTTCTTTTTAAATCTAAAATTAATGAGAAAAAGTAGTTTGAAAATTTAAATACCTTTTATAAGAATATATATATATATATTATTATATATTTATTATGATACTTTTTATTTGTGCGACTTATTTGTGTTATATTATACTAATTTTTTTAACTTACAACATATAACTACATTAAATATAAATATATCAATTGAGAAATAATTTTATTTTTCTAATGAATTTTAATAAATATTATTAATTTTTTACTATTATAAAGATATTTATTTATTTCATATATACAATATGAATGTCAAATCGAAGATCATCAAAAGATGATAAATTTGATATATTATATATGTAAAACCGATGAGAATACAAAAGTTGTCAACTTTTAAAATACATTTATAATTCAATAGCTTATCGAAGGAAGCAAATCAAAATTCAGGGATATATTAGTCACTTAGTACCTCACTATGCAAAATTACAAAGAATTAAAGGGTTATATTAGTAAAAGTGATATTAAAATACCTAAGTTAGCCAAAATAATATTTATGGAATACCCGAACCTAGATTATTAATTATTAATATATCAATATTATTTGTCCAAACCTAATTACGAAGCATGATTCTTCGCCAAATAAGATTCCGAAGCACCAGAAGTAACCACGTAGGCTCAGCGCATTCGAGAATTATATATAGAGAGGATTATGTAAAAACTAGATAATTTTAAAGTGGTCCATATGTTCATATTTATAAAAAGTATAAATATTACTAATCTCCTTAATTCAAACAGTTCTTTTATCTGACAGTTGATATTAATTCTGTGACTGATAAAATTAATAGATTGGCATCGCATCGTTTTACCAAACGGTATGTGCCAAAGGTGTTTAATACCGTTCTGTCAAAATGTACCATTGGTATTAAAAAGTCCCCGGGCTCATCATTTAGAATTTTAGATCATTGAATCTCACATTATGTGGAGAGAAAGTGAAAAAGTTTAGAAGATCTCTATGGAAGAGAAAGTAAAAGAGTCCACAAGAATTTTACGTACTTGATTTTACAAGTTTCAAATAACTCTAAAACACACACAAACAATAACTACGGGTATAAACTCGATCATTCTAGTGCATCAATATATAATTGTAGGGTAAATAATCTCACACGCACCACTCACAAATAACAATAAAAAATATGTAAATATCACATATTTTAAGATTCCAAATTTTATTATTACCGAATTATCCACATTCATAAAGTGGCTAGACTCCAATATGAATCGAAATATTGATTACAAAAAGGAATGATGGGCAGAAAGTGATAATGAGAAAAATATTTTGTTGGCATTTGGGTTAGTCACGCTTATAAATGATGATGATGCCCAATAATAATAATTATTATTATTATGGTGCACTATCCTCTCACGAGTGCTGCGCGTGGCTGGCTAACTCGAAACCATTCAAACTAAAGTGGTTTGATCCTTGTAATACCTGATCATTTTGTTTGCTTCTCTTTCATGTATTGACCATTAAAAGATCTTAGAAGTTATGATTATTTCATTACATGTGGGAGTAGACATGGACACGGGTCACCGGCCCGCCGACCCGGTGCAAACCAGGCACGGACCTAGCCCGGTCAAACCCGTTGACCACGGGTCCAGACCCGACACGAATTTCAAACGGGCCGGTCAAGGGTCATATTTTTTCGGCCTTGACCCGCGGGCCGGGTCTGTGTCGGCACGGAAAAATGTATTGCTTTTGAATTCTTTTCCTTTTTTTTTTTATTTTTTTATGTGGTTGGGTCCAAATCTGAGTCGGGCCCGGCCCAGCCCGCCGGGTCTTGGACCCGACACGACCCTATGTCCATGCCGGTTCAGGGTCGTCAAAACCCAAACCGGTGGCCCGGCGGGCCAGGCCGGGTCCAGTTTTTGAGTAATGCTACTTAGCCAACTTGGACGACAACTTGAGTTACAACCCAAGTGTAAATGCATTATCAAGAAATTAAAAAATAATGTCTTTACACTTGAGTTGTAACCCAAGTGGGCTTTATAGCATTACTCCCAGTTTTTTGCCATGTCTATGTGAGAGTATATTGTAAAAATGTTTGGCTTTATGCCCGAATGAATTTTGTGTTATTAGTCAAAGAAATGTTCGTAGTTAATTTATTTATGCAAATATTGTTCCTTTAATTTACATTGTATATAATATAGTTTCGGATCTAGAACAGTAATATTATATTATCGGTTCCTTATAAAATATAAATAATAGTTCACAGTCTAGATAACATTGAACTTCCTGTCGTGAAAGATTGTAGTGTGATCTTTGAATTAGTTGATTTTTGACTAATGAATTACAGTAGTACATCGCGGATGTATTGACGGGAAAGGATAAAATTATTTTATACTGACTAAGTAAATAATCTAGAACTCAATAATTGTTGCGTTCTATTAACCCATAAGACAATAGACAAACATATGTAGTCAACACTTGTTTATTTGATTATCATCGGTGAGAACCTATTCTAGTAGATTGACATACTCGATATTTTTAGTAAGTGATGTCCGTTACACGGTGCCGCTACGGTCACCTTGTCCTGGAGACGGGTTGATGATGTCCCCAAAATGTGCTCAAAAGGATTATTATGTCAAGTCCGGTCGACATAATAATAAAGAATTCAGTGGTACTAGTTTCGGATTCGAGAAGTTGATTAATTATATTTAAGTAATAAAATTAATCAACGGATATTATATCTTAAACATGATGAGGTAAATCGAGTAATTGGTGGGGAGATGAATTAATTTTAATTCGGAGCTAAATAGGGAATGTAATAATATTTCCTTAGTGGCATGATTCATTATTCAATTGAAGCAGAGTGGATTTGACCCACAGTTAGGCTCATACTTGGGAAGTCCATATTTAGCACCTCCCTAGGGTCCATGTTGTACCCTATAAATAAACCAAGTCCCCTAGCTTCCATCACTATGAAATTCACGCTGTTGACGGACGTTTCCGGCCAACGGTTAATTAAGAGTCGGATGGACTTACTTGAAAGAAAATGAGATGGAGGGAAATAATTTTTTATTAAACTGTGGGTCAGCTCGGCATTCGAAACTTGTGTTCGGCACTTTGCTGTGATACAAGGAATTGCTATAAGCTTCTTAGAGATAGAAAATATGCTGCTATTCTAGAAATAAATGGGTTCAACTAACTCTATTAATACTACTCTTAGTTGAGCACTGTTGGAGCACTGTTCATGTCGTCTCGTTGCATAGTACAATGGAATGACAGGCAGTGTTAGGCATTATATGCAGTCAGAAGGTTGGTCATGATGATCTCTGCAGCATTAAATGCTATCAGACTTAGGCATAGGTTTTTGCCTCTTTGGGATAACCGGCTCTTGCGAAATGTCCCATCGACGCGTCACTGTCTGAAGCCCATCATAACATCGCTGACCGACCTCCCACTGTGACACCTTCCTACCCGACCTCCCAGCCCACTGCAGTTCGGCACTTGACGCCAATTGACCTTCCTGCTCTCGGGACCACTTTTCGTAGTCAACACCTCACCAGCTCGGCACTACATCCCAAGACGTCGGGATGCCTACTCGGCCTTCGAATCGTCCTCGTGCTCGTCATCCTTCAACGATCTAGTCCGATGCTGAGTTGAGGTTGGGTCCATGGCTGGTTTGACCCCATTGTCTCCTAATCGGGCGAATGATTAAGATGGTCAACTCGAATATCAACATTCAGGCCCCCGAACTCGATCGAGACGTTAGCGTGTCGCTCGAGGTCTTCTCAGTTCTCAAAGGTCCGAGGTGACAATCTGGAAATCGCGCTGATCTCAGGATATACTCGTCCCCCAATGACGTCCTGGATGATTGACGTGTGACGTGACTTGACGCGACGCTCTGTCTTATGCACGCTAGAGTCGTGGCGCGTGAGAAACGGACGCACATGTGTCTGTCGTTGATTGGACGCATGGTGATAGGTGGCGGCAGCGTGTGGAACCACTCGCGGGACTCGAACGGCCCCCTTTCATTTGAATTTCGAATTTCTTCCCACTGGGGGACGCGTGGCAGCTCCCGATTCGTCACTTGGCTATATATATCCCTTCCCTTGGAGTTTTTTCAATTTTTTTCCACGCTTGCAGAAACAGAAACTCTAACTTCCCAAGAACCTTAAGGCAAAGAAATTCACGGCGACCTGACTTTTACGAAAAATCCCGAGCAGATTCCGATCACCTTTCCCAGTAACCTTCTATATCCATTTCTCCTTGTTTTTCTCTTTCGCGTATATGGCATATTCTTCGGCTGTGAACGTCGCCTCCTCCAGCGACGCCGCCGCTCTTTGTGGTAGAGTCGCAGGGGTGACTCCGATCCTGGCAGTTTCCCTTACGGCGGTGAGGCCAGGCAATTCGATGGCGAAGACGGCCTTCGGTATCGGTGATGGTGAGGAGGATATAGATCTCAGTTTCCTCGGCGTGTCCGACTCGGATGTTAACCCCGACCTTGTACGCGAGACCCTACGCGGCAACACGGGCAGTCGTGAACAGGTTCTCATGGTCGTGGTGACTCGACTACTAATGTTGCAGTCGAGGCAACCACTTCGGTGCCTCTAGGCTGCTGGCGTCGACCTCCTCGCATCTGGCCAGTGCCCAGTGAGAAGTTGGCGTGGAGTCTGCCTTCCGTCATTGACGACGTCGACCTCGTCCAGCTCCGGAGTAAGTATTGTTTTGGCCCCGGGGTTTGTATATTTGCGCCTTATGTCGGGGAGCGGATCCATTGCCTGCCGCCTGGTTGCATTGGTGTATCGGTCGAGCATCTTGCTTGGCCTGCGGTTCCCACTGTCGGAGGCGTTGAGCAGCATTTTAAGTGAGCTCGACATCGACATCAGTCAACTCGTGTCAACCGTATTCGCTAGACTGGTCAGCCTAATCGTCCTTCACCGACGTTAGCGATGGGCAGGTCCTACGGGTGCCGAAGTGAGGTCGCTTCTAAACTTCAAGTTAGGCTCCTCTAGGAATTATTACTGCGTGACAGTTCCCGGCGTCGACAGTTTGGTGGTTTACAAACTTCCAGAAACTCTCCATGGTTACCTGCCGGAGTGGTTCTGGGTTGGCAGTGCCTGGCGTACTGCGGGCGCTACTCAACATCCCAAAACAATTTTTGTCACCGGCCCCCGTAAGTTTCGTTAACTGTCCTTGTAACTTGTTCTAATTCAAACTTATTTTTTGTGCTAACAGGTCGGTGTTTTACGTTTTCATTCTGTGATCGGAACCCTCCCATCAGCAATGTTTTTGCCGACAAGCTCAGGACTCTACTCGAACTTTCCCCCGAGAACCGACATTACAAGAGACTCGTGAAACAGAAGGTGTTTCTGGAACACAACCTCTGTACCGCACTCAACAACTCCTTTGTGTCGGGTGAGTTGCTAGTCGACACTTTTCTCGAAACTTTTTTGTTGTTTTTTTTTTGAAATCGGCCCGTCTCTTGCAGTCTACAATCCACTGCTTCGTGAGTGTGGGTTTAGCTCCGCAAAAGAGGCCAACGCTTATCGACGCGCTCACCCCAACGCTCTTAGAACTCGATCACAAGACATGTCGGCCAAGATGAGGATAGCCATGGAACGCGACCAGAAGCCCACCTCGGTGAGCTCATAAACGGTTGGGGAGACCATGGCCCCAGACAACCAGACCGTGGCCGACGTCGAGCGGGCGCCCGATCCTGACCCCTCGACACATCAGGATGACATCGTCATCGAGAAGGTTGGCTCCAATGACGAGGGCGACGCTCAGGATCCCAACCAGCCGCTCGAGCAGGCGACGCGAGGCGGTCGTGGGATAACTTTGAGGGTGAGCAAGGCCAACGCTGTCGTTAGGTCCGGCGCGAAGAAGAAAAAGAAGACGACGCTGGTCGAAGAGCCATCGCCCCCCAAGAGGACATTGTCGACCCATGCGGACAGATCGGAAGCCTATGTCCAAATTGACCCGGCCAGATGCGCTCGGTACGCTGCGGAGATGCCTGGCTTCCCCGATGATTTGTTTTTGGATGCCAGGTCGGCACGAGGGGTCAAGATCCCCAATGAGTTCGACCTCCCAAATCAGGTGATGATGGCCTCTCGCATTCCTCTCATATGTTGGTCGGGTACCGCGGAGGCTGCAGTTTGTCAGCTTTCTACCCCCAACCTTACCCAGCACTCCGCAGGGCTCGTGGGGTGCGCCCTGGTCTAGCTCGTTCATGCGGCCGAGCAAACTCATAAGACCTCGGCTGACTTGGTTAGACTAGAGGACGAGCACAAGAACTGCCCGGCCCAGATCCGTCCTTACACACAAGACCAACAAGGCGGACGACTTGAAAACGCAGATTGCCATAGCCGAGGCCGAGGTGGTCGGTGCTAAGGAGTCTGTCGCTGCCTCTACCGAGGAGGCGGCTCGTGCCCGGGTCGAGCTGTAGGTCGAGAGGAAGGTCTGGGCTGAGGAGAAGCGGGCATTAGAGGAGAAGTTTTCCTCTGAGAAATCCAAGCTCTCTGGGAGGTGCGCCGCAGATTTGGCTTGGCTGTTCGAACGCGTCAATGAGCTACATGCTCAGGTCGACGCTTACGCCACGACCGAGGAGATGAGGAGTGACCCCGTTCTCCCTCCCCCACCGTCTCTTTCCTACGTCGAGGTCCAAAAGTTGTTCTTTGATGAGATTTCAGCGGATATGGACTCTGGCGCCGCGTACAACCTCTACTGGCTTTTCCAGCGCCTCGACCATGGCCTCCTTACCCTTGATGACTTTCGGCCGATTATGAAGGATTAAATTGCGAAGCACAAGCTGACCGAGAGCTATAATGGCATGTTTTGTGAGGTCGACGATGAAGAAGCAGTGTTAGTCTGATGCCAGAAAGGGTGGAGGGACGATGTTTTGGTCGGTTTTGAGAACCTCGACCCTCGCCGCCAGGACGGGTGGTCGTGGAAAGAGGGTGAGCAGTTGGGCGGTTACAGGGATTATCGACCCGAGTCCCTAGAGGGTGTTGATTGGCACGCCGGCACCTCAGGGGCGAACGATGCCTAGATTTAGTCCGGCCTGCGAGTTGCCGTTTTGCCGCATGTGGCTTTCATACTGTTTTGTAACTGTCGAATTGTTTTGAACAATATACCTATATTTTGTCCGGCCTGTGTGCCGCCGTTTTGCCGCATGTGGCTTTCGTACTGTTTTGCAACTGCCGAATTGTTTTGAACAATTTTATTTCGATTGAAGTTTTTATAGCTTTTGAAGCTTTTTGTTTGTATGCTTAAGTTCACGATTTTTGGTTTTTCTTTTGAATGTTGTTCTTAAATATGACTATCGCGCCTCTTCCTTGGCCGATCCACTTTCGTGGTCTTCCCTTTCGTTTTGGCCTCTTACCTAACCGAGTCACCTTTGGAGTTCGGTTGGTACTGTTATCGAGCCTAACTGGCCCAACTTTGGGGCCGACTTGCGCAGTATACTGCGTCTTTTGGGCAGCTTTGACCTTTCCCGGGCCTCCTACTGGGTCCGGCGGTACTACGGCTTTACCGGGCTGCTTTTCAAGCCTGGCATGTGTGGTTCTTCACGCGTTTTTTGATTGTATGGCTTACGATTTGATATTATATGAGGGCTAAGGGCGAAAAAGTGATGTACATAATTCAAAGCATGTAGCTCGATTTTGTTGGTATATGTGTCCTAGAGACAATCATTTTAAGGACATATATACATGATCATATTATTAATTATATTGGATTATAATTATGGTATTGTAATTAATTAAATAATTGTTTGATTGTTTGCAATTTATTAATTAATTGCTCCCTTGAGTTGATACTGTCATTAGCAGAGTGAGATGTTAATTGATAAAGTATAACTCTAAAATCGCCTCAATCGATGATCATTAAGAAAGGGATATTAATGATACGCGATATATTGACATGTGGTCTGCATCATATTTCTTAGAGAACATAGTATGTCTCACTGCTATGAATAATCGTTATTCGTGATGGACACATGGATACTTTGGAGAGTATTGGCATACCCTACCGATAAACCATTTGTTTATGTGTCTATGGGAGTGTCGTTGTGTGGAATAGTGTAATAGTCCTTTGACTTGAGGTCAATACGTAATTCATGTATCGAGTGATTTACTTAGACCTAGTCCAACGCTTACGCCCTTATGGGTAGACACGGGCTCGTGTTGGGTAGATCACGATATACATGGGATTGGTAGTTGAGCCAAGATAGGATTCATTCCTCGAATATAGTTTCGAGAGAACACTCGTTTTCTCTATACTGGGTTGATAAAGTCATTGGCCAATGCACGTGATTATATTTGAAATGGTGTTCAAATATAATTGATAAAATCAACCAGTGAGATGAGATAAAATGATTAAGCTGTTTGGATAGACACACGTTCAAATCCTAAGATCGAGTGGGTCGTGAATGAAGGGACCGTATCACTATTGGATTCTACACTAAAGGTTTGTTTGCTTGTCCATGTAAACGTACTTCATATTTTGAGTTCGTCCTTCGACGCAGTCTAGGAGTTTCGTAAGGATCATAAATTAGATTTATGTCAATATATGAAGGCCTATAAGGTCACAAAATAAGCAATCAGTTTTCCGACTAAGAGTGAATCGAGAGTGTTAAATATTCAATTAGATTGGAATATTTATTTATGAGTAATGAGATTATTTTCTATTTGATGGAAAATATTTAATTAAGTTAAATTAGATTTATGCTTAATTTATAATGAGATAATTTTCTATTTGATGGAAAATATTTAATTGAGTTAAATTAGATTTATACTTAATTAAAATTATAAATTGGATTAGGTCCAATCACCTATTGGGTTGTAGGATTTCTAAGGCCCATATAATTAGGTTTAACTTGATTATAAATAGGTCATTATCTCATGGTAGTCTTTAACGATCATTAGATGAGAAAAAGAGATACGCCGTAAAACAAAAACACTCTCTAGCTTTCTGGCTCGAAGATTCCTAGCTTCTTCACCGGAGAGGATTCATTGACGTTGGATCGTGCATCGGGAAACTGGATTGCGTGGATACCATAGTCGAGGACATGACGAACAACGGTAAGTTCGTTGATCATTCACGCGATCTAGGATCACATCGAATAGCTATAGCCGGATCTTCGTTGTTAGTAAGAAAAATTTTAAATTCCGCTGCGCGTACGCTAGGTTCGTACGTCTAAAATCCAACAGTGGTATCAGAGCACCGGGTCGGTGTTCATAGCTATTCGATTTTAAATTGGATTTACATGGATCAAAATATATGTTAATGATGTTAAGATAATTAATTTAGAATTAATTTTCATTAAGATTCATGGTTGCTGCTTTCGTTTACGAACAAATTCAGATCTGG